CACACACACACACACACACACACACACACACACACACACACACACACACACACACACACACACAATTGTTTTAAGAAGTGTTCCAGAGCCTAAGCTGTTGTTTCTGTTCTAGTTCTCTGGGTGGTTTCAAAGTTGATTTTTAAGCTTTACGAGTTTAAAAATCCCGTTCATTTTTAGGTTTGATCTCTTGTAGACAGAGATTTTTCCCTGATTGTTAAACTCGCTGATTGTTACACTATTTTATGACATTTTCCCCATATATGACACAAATAAAAACATTTATGACTATTTTAAAAATTCACTTTACTCTAAATTTTTATGGAGTAAATCCTTACATTGAATTCTACTCTTGATTCACTTGACTGATCTCGCTGTTGTTACAGTCAGAGAAAACTAAAACCTCAGCTGTTTTGGGTTGTTTTTACGTCAAAAATGTTGATGTTGAATCTAAAAATGTGAAAAGAAAAGAAAGAGGTTTTTGTTTTAAATAAGCAACTAAAAATGTAAACATCTAAAAGAAAAAAACATTTCTTATGTGGTAATTTAGTTTTATTTTTAATCAAAAAAGGATTTATAATAAGATTTGCCAATCACACATCTTTATTTACATCATGAGTCAACTGAGATGATAACCCTGTAATTCTGCAATGTAACCTGTACAAAACATGAAAAATACAATATTTGTGACATAGAAAATTTTTAATTTCTCAGTTTTTAGCAAGTGCCAACATTTATTATTATTATTACCAACAATTGCTGTTTCATTGTTGAATTATCTGTTTGTGTGCGCAGCTAAAGGCTTCAATTTGTCATATATTTGATTTAATCCAGAAAATTATGCGAAGAAAGGACTGAAATTTAAGTGTGAATGTAAAAAACAAGTTAATTTGCAAAACAGTACTGCCGCCTGGCAGTATTCTCCTGTATATTCTTTGACTTATTTGCATTGATGTGTTATACAAGCAGCACGTGTGAATAAAGAGGTACAAACACACACCTTGATCACAGAAACTAAAGGGCGTTTGGACTGAGTCCACACATCTGCACATATGGACACAGACACACAAAACATCGCTTCCCAGCAGGAAGAAAGTTTTTCTTTTTTTTAAGCTCCAGTGATGGAAACTTAATCATCTCAGCTGCTGCTAAATTAAATGATGTGCCTGTAAGCTGTCACCATGATTAATTTACTGTAACTTGTTCCACACAGGCTCTTTAGTCATTCCACATCAAAAACAGGAGGGAAAAGCAGCACTCGTCCAGTTGTGTTCTGGTTTCATCAGAACAGCCTTACAACCGACCCAGGCAGAAGAGAATCAGCCAGATTAGTCAGCTTTAAAGCAATACTTTTCATTTTTACATTCAAATATCTCAAACATGAATTTCTGGGACTTCTATGGAGGACGGTGGCACAGACGAATAGATTGACAYACCAACAGAAATGTGCGCACACTTATCTGGGCACAGCATCCACCTGTGTGCAATTAGCAGCAGGCATTTCCCGTCAGCGGTGCTGTGCCGTGCCAGACAGGCTGCCTGGGAATCTCCCACCCACCCCCCGCCCAGTCCCCACCCCAGGTTTCCCACTGGGGCCAGCGCAAGACGCAACGCCACAAAATGATCAGACATGGAACAGGGCGACTGCTGCAGGTCACAGCCTGACAGCGTGTCAGCTGCTGCTGYTGAGCAGGATGTGATGAGTAACAAAAACGACACTGAACTGCGAGAGGTGTGCAAACATGATCCTACTCCTGAATCACATGGATCTGTGTTAGATGATGAGAATTTGATGACGACTAAACCACAAACCAACAGCAGACGGGATGTTTTTAGCCTTTTTTTAAACAGTTTTAAGAGTCAGGAGACAAACCGACCACCAGAGGCCGCTACATCTTTGGATTGCACTGGAGCAGGTTTAGAACTTCCACCAAGGAGGTTGTGTTTGTTTTATTATTATTATTTATTTTTTGGTAGCATTGGTTTGTTTGTGCACATTATTACTCAGAAAGTTATAAATAGATTTTCATGACATTTTCGGGGCATGCTGTGGTTCTCACAGAGAACAACTAATTAAAGTTTGGTGAGCTGGCAACATCTGCCAGATCTGCAGCTTGCCTTGATCCGGGACACAGAAATTGAGACAGAAAACAGAGAATGGCACCAGAAGCTGCTTTTTAAACATATATTCATACTGTATCAACCTATCAGCATCCAGCAGAACATTATTCCACCAATCACAGCTCAGCAACTGCACACTCTCATTCACATTATAATTACATCATTCCAGACATCTGCTCAATCCTGGTCCTCGAAGGCCATTATCATAAATGTGTTAGATTTATTTCTGCTTTGACGCAACAAATTTAAATGAATGATTGATTAGGAGGCTTCTGCAGAACTTAAAAACAGGCTGAAGAGCAGGAAAACTATCAAAACGTAGAGCAGGGCTATTCAACTAAACTGCTCCGGGGGCCACAGTTACTGCCGGTCAACAGCTGAGGGGCCGAACATCCAGCAATGCAAGTTATTATGTAAAAAAAACCAAGTATTACAAAGATCTGTTACCTTTGAATTAGTTTATTTTGCTGCAAGAATACAACATACAGCACACTATAAAAGTAATGATAAACATTATCAAAAACAAAAAGAACACATTATGCCTCCTATTTGACACTAATATTTTGACATCTCTGACTTTTTAAAWTTTTAAACTTCACTTTCATCATTTTGTCTTCAACTGGTTTTAGTTTTAACTGTCTTGAGTGTTTATTAAAAATGTTTTTTTTTACCAGCCTCTAGCCAAGATTCTGACTTTCTGTAGATACCAAACATGTCTATGTTTAACTAAAAGAACTTGGAGTAATTAAAGTAGAAAACCAGGGGTGTGGGCTTAAGAGATGAATGAACKAATTGGCGGGCCGAACTTTGGTTACTTGCAGGCCGGATGTGGCCCGCGGGCCGCCAGTTGAATAGCCCTGACGAAGAGGATAGTGGTCCTCCAGGACCTGGATTGGGCACCACTGATTTAAGACCTGGTTTTATCAGGTTATAAAATTATTCAAATCTTCAAGTGTCCAAAACAAACTCTAATTTTACTCTGTCAATATTAAAAAAAAATCTAAACTAAAATGGAAAAACTGTGTATGGAAATCAGAACACTTCTAGAACAATGAGACTGAAGTGCAGCACTTTACCCATAATGCACTGCACRATGTTTTGGAGAAAACCAGACAGTGTATCAGCACAAACACATCATACCAACTGTCAAACACGGTAGTGGAGCAGTGATGATGTGGGTTTGTTTTYCAGGATCTGGGAGCCTTATAGTCATTGAGTTGTGAACTACACTTTTGGTCATAGTMTTCTAAAGTCAAATGTTCCAACTAAACCTGGACCTGCAAACTGGGTCATGATGCAACGGGACAATAATCCCAAACAGCAGCAAATGTACAACAGAATAAGACTCAGAATCTTGCAAAAGTCTAAGTCTGATTGAAATGCATCCRCTTTCATTGGGTTAAAAAAAAACAATAAGGCTTCAAAATTAAGAATGGGGCCTTGCAGGTAATTTTGAGGGAGGGGCCGGAGGAGGGTTTAGCTGTGCAGAAAAAAAATGCCTGAAAACATCACAAAAATAAAGTTGTAAAAAGGAGTGGACCAAAATCTGTTTTCAACTATATAACAGAAAATAACGAMTCATTTCAGCTCAAGCTGGTTCTGAACGCTGTTGAATCTCTGGGTTTTTAGTTTCTTCACACAACTTTTTTTTTTCCTTTCAGCTTAAATTTGATTTGATTTAGTAAATAATGGCATGATTTGAACCTGTTGTGTGTTTTTGGCTGTTAGAGGTTAGATTTGAATCATTTTATAACCTGGTAAAAACTTTGTATAGTTCGCATAAAACCCTAAAACTGAGATATGYTATGCTTTTGTTTTATGACAAAATGTATGTATTCAAACGTTTTTTTTTTTTCAAACCTAACATATAAACTCTGAGCAGTTTGAATCTGCTTGTTTTCCAGTTGAGTATTAATCCTAAGCCTTTYGGGTTGGATGCATTATGTCTAATTAACAAGTGTTAATAACTGCAGGAGTATAGAGAAGAAATTAACAATGAAGATGACGGCAGGAGTGATTTATCTGATTAAAGAAGAGAATTAAAAAAAGAAAAGAAAAATTTCTCCGATAAAAAGCAAGCAGAGACAGAAGTGGGTGAACTAAAGAGACAAGAGGATAAATAAAAATGAAATTTACCGGGTATCCATCCCGTCCAGCTTTGCCCTGGTGAGATTAGACATGAAGGCATGAAGCACAGAGACAAGTTAGAACCAGCAGCTGCTGACTTTACATCAACTCTTCATGTTAACATGTTAAAAGCAGACAAACTGTTAGGAATCTGACATGTGTTTTTCTATGAACCTGTAGGTTTTGGACTCAAATAGAAAGTTAATGTTTACTTGGGGTACAATGAGGTAAGAACCCATAAAAAAGTGATGTATTTTGTTTTCTACTCAACAGATCTGACACTGACAAAGTGTTAATTTGGTGAAGAGCAAGACTGCCTCACCTATAAGCAATGTAGGATGAACGATTTATTTTATTTTAACCTGGAAAAAAGAAAAAAAAAAGAAGAAAAGTCCAGCTTTGCTTCATGGACTTTAGTCCAAAGCAGATGCACGGACAGTTGTCTGAGCCGATGTTTCCGGAAGAGCTTCACGGTACGTTTGAAGGCCATAATTCTCATCTGAACAAGTGCCACATGCAGGGCACAAAAAATAAATAAAATAAAAAAAGACCAGAGTCAAATCTGGAAGTTAGTAACCTTGTTTTTTTTTAATTCAACTTAAAAAGAACCTGAATCTGGAGTCAGATCCTCGTGTCTAATTTGTATCTGTTACAGGCTTGAGGACAATATTTCGCCAAATATGAGACACTCCTTTCTTACCGTGAAACACACACACACACACACTTCAGTAGGTGGTCCATTTATTGCTCTCTTTGTGTGTGTGTGTGTGTGTGTGTGTGTGTGTGTGTTGATGTTTTACTGCTGTGGGAGAAGGGATGATTTCTGGTTTGACCTGCAGTTTGTCAAGCGGTGCCACAGCGAGGGAGGACGTGCGTGATGTGTGTGTGCATGTTTAACCTCTCAACTAATTCAATACTACCTGGATGAGATGAAAGCGTACTTACAGGAGGCCCTGCAACAGAAAAAAACAACAAAAGAGAGAAAAATGAGGGATTAGAGATTCTTTGTCTCTATTGACTTATATACACACAGCAACACTTTGTGCAGCAATCAGTTGCTTCAGAAAGTAAAAAACTGTACATGCCATGCGGTTCGTTAGATAATGACGGTAATTAACCGCCTAAATATGGTGGAGAACAAGCTCATTAGAGCCGCTGCCGGCGCAGTTTGTGGCGGAGCTGTTATAATAAACAGACTTCTGTACGAGACATGGTTTAGATTTAGGATGTGAAGTCACGTCAGAGATTGTTTCTCAAGAACGACAAACAGGAGATCGAAAAGGTCGGGGTGTGTTGGGGGAAAAAAAAGCGTGTCCCTTGAAAGACTTTTCCTCCGGGGGCCATCTTTAGGATGTGATTGAAATGCTCTGATGTTGAGCAAAAGCGTACACTCTGTTTTTCATACTTTGTTTAACCGAAAACAACAGTAAGGATCAAAGGATTCCTCTTTTTTTTTCCCCACAGCGATTGTAATTGAATCCAAAAAAAAAAAAAGAAAAACTCCTTGTAAATAAAAGACTGAAGCTGAGAGCACTAATAAACCACATAACCCCCAACAAAGAGAATGTATTATTTTATTATTGCAAGCTTTTCATTTAATTTATTGCTGTATCTGGTTCAAATTGAACCCTGATCATGATGCTGATTAATTTGATTGTTAACACAGTTACAGTGTGTAAAAAGGATGTGGGGCTTATTAACATGTAATTAACACTAAACGTCTACATAAACTCACTTTATGTGACTTTTTGTTACAACTTAAACACGCTGAAGCTAAGCTAACACGTTAAGCTGAGAAGCAAATAATAGTTAAGTTCATTTAAAGTGGTGTTCTGTGGAAATGTAAAAAATATTTTAACTGTTGTAGATATAGCCCTTTGAACAACCTCCGTTTGGAGAAATGTATTCAGACCAAATTAAAGTAGTCTGAGCAGGGCCATGACCAAAAGAGGATTAGTGCCTTCCTAAAACAACTTCCATCTCAGAAATTTTAAAGCAGTTCATGCAAACACTTTTTTAAAATAAAACCAGCATTTCTTAAAGGAATGCGTATAATTTTAAACAAAAGTCTTACACAATCTGTTAGCACTCAGAGTATGTGTTGGGAGTCACTTTAAAGGCCTCGCTCAGACCACCTTTCAGAATTAAACTTCATCTCTCCAAACTGAGGTCGTTCAAAGAGCTATCTGGAACAGGTAAGATGTTAATTGTTCATCCTTTTTACACAGAACTCATAACAAGCAGACTTAGATGTGTCTGGATGCTTTGACAAGGACTTCTTTAGTAAAACAGTTTGGTAAGTAAACACTTTTTGGTTAGAGAACCACACAGTGAGATCAAGTTTAACAGCTGAACTTAAGACAGGTGTGTGAGTGTGTGTGTGTGTGTGTGTGTGTGTGTGTGTGTGTGTGTGTGTGTGTGTGTGTGTGTGTGTGTGTGTGTGTGTGTGTGTGTGTGTGTGTGTGTGTGTGTGTGAGTGTGTGTGTGTGTGTGACTAATGAGAAACAACAAGACAAAATTAGGGAGGAAAACAGAGGATAAAGGAAAAACAAGTAAAGAAGGTAAAGAGAGAAGACTCAGAGCAGTAGATGAACAAGAGCTGCTTTAAGACGTTGAACCAATTTGTTCCCTTTTCCTGTTTTTCACAGCAGTTTCTCTTCTGTTCCTCCTCTTTGTTATTTTTGAGAAAATCATTGTGGTCCTGTAAAAAGCTGTCTTGAAGCCATTAGAAGATGGTGCAACACAGCCTCACCATGCCTGCACAGTTTAATTGGAACTAAAATGTGGCGAAGGAAAAAGTCAGGGATACACACGAAGCCACATCACCTCTTTAAAGGCAGACGTACATTTAAGAAACCAACAAACACCGAGTTCCACTAAAAACCTCAGAATTAGCCCTCCTCTTACTGAAAATCCCCTGACAAGCAGCTGATGAACACCTGATGGAGTCACAGATCTCTGCGCTGATTAAAATACAGTTTGACAATTTTAAACTGAATCTGGCGATAAATTTCTCTCTCCCTCTTTTTTCCTACCACCGGAGTGAATCACTACGTTTATTCTCTTCTCTCCTGCTATAAATACTCACCAGTATACCAAGATTTGCAGCTGAAAATAGGCCARGACAATTTGAAGCTGTGTTTTAGCTTAAGTTTCCAAGAACAACCAGCTGTTTTATTGGAAAACGTCTCCTAGCTCTGCGTGTGCGTTTACATCTGCAGCGGGAAACACCACCACCGTGGTTTTATGAGCCCTGCTGACGAGAAGAACGATTTAMAAAACACCTCCAAACACAAAAAGTAATTTTTGATACCACTAATATAGATTACAACATTTATATTTTGTTTAGAACAGCTCTTTCACCTAAACGGACAGTTAAATCTATTGACAAAAGATTCTATGGAGAGGTCACTAGCGATTAATATCTTACCTGTTGTAGGTCTTTTAATAAAGTTTGGAGAGACCGAGTTAAATTCTATAAATACATATTAGGGGTGTCCTGATGCCAGTTTTTTTAAACTGAGTATGATTACAAGTACTTCATTTTGGGTATTCGCAAAGTACTTACTGAGTTAGAGCTTTTATATTTTTTGGTATTGGTAGCGGTTCTGAGTATTTTGCATGAGTACTCGTGTTGGTATCGAGACACCACTAAAATTTTATATATATATATTAGGGGTGCAACGATACAGGAAATTCACGGTTTGGTTCGGTTCGATATTTTAGTCTCACGGTTCGATATTTTTTCGATACAAAAAAGAGAAATTTCCATGCCCCTTTTAAATTGTAATTTATTTATATTAATTATGAACATTTGTTTAGCCTCAAAAGTACAGTTTTTTTAATTAAATGTTGCTGAAACAGCAAGTTTCTCAGTGGATCTGCGCTCAAAAATGCAGCCTAGGTGGAGTAGTCGAACACAGATCCACTGATCCTTTAACACAGAGCATCTTCAGAAGACAAGTTGTGAAAGTAAATTTTGAAAATCTGTATTGTTCGATGCAGCACTGTTCGACACGGTTTGATACGGGTACATGTACAGTATTGTTGCACCCCTAATATATATATAAACTGAGATTGTTCAAAGACCAGTCTACAACAACTAAGGCTTTGTCCAGACCATGGATATATTTATATATTTAACCCAATATATCAGGGATTAAGTCATATTTAGTCAAACTAAACTAAACACATTATCAGATTTGAGGCTTTTTAAGCTACATCATGCTACTTAGACTATCCCAATAGTTCCAGAAACTTAACTTGCTAATCAGGACAATCCCTGGAAAATCAGTCTAAATTATATTTTCAGCATATTCTAATAAATATTTATTAATGTAATTTAAAAGAGGAAACCTCAGACCATATTTGGATTTWGGGATTTCCCAGCTGGTGTTAAAATGGTTTTGTCAGCATGCAGGGAAAGTAGCAAAACTTTCTGCTCAAAATCATTGGTATTTATTCACATTTGTTCAAGGAACCCATAGATTCATCGTGTTTGGACAAAATCGAAGTATCGCAAAATTTTCTAACCAATGCACAGTTGCTGCCTATATCTGACTACACTACTTCAGAAGAGCTAAACTGCTGCTAAAATTAACATTTTTAGAAAAACAAAAACAAAAACAAGTTTTATCCAATGAATCACAGCCAGACCGGAAATCTGACATGTATCCCTCGACAGCTCCACCCCTGCAGCTTGTGATCCAACCGTCTGACTCTGTTGTGCCCAATTTCGTTTGAGTCAACGTTTAATGAAAGCGTTTAATGCYTGACTCAAACTTGTAAAACATCTGTCCCAAACTCGTTTTTCCAGGGTAAAAGTCATATCTTTGCACRGTTTTGGTTTCACAATGAGTGTTCAGTGGTTTGGAAAGAATTGTCTCYGTAACGGCGAGCGGTGATGTTGGGGACTCATTAGGGCCCCGTTCTGCTGCTGCAGCTGCTACCGCTCAGCAAAGACGGGTCGACATCTGGGCAAAGTTACTGCGACCACATGGGTGAAATTAGCACAATGTCGGACGCGTGATGGGGACGAACGGCGGAGAGTTGCAGCTCGTCACCCAGCGACCCGAATCGTACGGATCACTGCCTTTTACCGACCTTCTGCTCCAAGTCATCAACTCACCCGGAACGAAAAAATAGAGAGAGAAGGGATGTTATAGGGAAAAAAAGAGAAGAGGAGGAGAGGAGAAGAAATAAACATTTAAACTAGGATTTACTTACCGGGTTCCCCTCGTCTTCCAATCCGTCCACGTTTTCCTGGAGGCCCTGCAGAAACACAGACGGGAGAATAAATCCCAGCTTTGCAGGGAGAAGCAGAAAGCAGCAGAGCATCACTTGTGGTTTCGTTGCTGGTGGTCAGATATGCTTGGCTTTAGCCTTGTGTCGAGCTGGCACTGCGCTCGACACGAGGTCAGATGCTAAAAACACAAAAATGCAAATAAAAATCATGCAAAAGATTTTTAATTTTAGGCATCCAGCTACGTTCCTCTCGCCCTGCCCTGATGCACCCGAAAGAACAACCTTTCCGGTAAAAAGATGTCTAATGTTGATGAAGCAGTAAAAGCTGCGATAAATAACAGGAGTGCTTTGGAAGAAGCAGGAAATGATGTAGCGGTGAGTCAACACACATCTCAGACCTCATGCTGCAGCAGGGTCATGAATCACCTCTACGGTCATTCGTTAAGGTCAATATCAGCCTGGCAACGCAACAAACCCTGGAAGATTTTCTTTCAACTTAGCGACTGAAACAAGTCACAGCGGCTGTAGTTGAAGCAATCCTCAGAAAAACAGTTCAAACAGGTGAACAATGTCCTAAACAGTGTTTTCCCTCATTTACATAGCAAACATTAGCACACCGAATCACAGCAGTGGAGCTAATAGCATTACCCTGACAGAATGCAACTGGCTGACCAAGTTTTTCTTGGGTTTCATTGGAAAAATTCACCTTCAGGGAACATACAAACTGTGTGGGGTCCTGGAACCTATAGCAACAGACATGATGGATTCACAGCAGTGATTTGTTATAGTTTCTGACATCTTTAAGCAATGAGTACATGTGAAATCCCTTGAACGTAAATTAAAAATTAATGCGAGGAAAAAAAGGAGGAAGAGTCAGTAGCCTATTTTGGATAGAACAGTTTTTTTCCAACAGTCCCACCACATTTCCACTCACTGACACTACCAGTGTAAAAAAATACTGGATTAATTCTGACCCCTGTGCTTTCTCTGATAGATGTAAAATTGTTTTTTCCTCTAAAATATAAGAAAGTCTGAAAATCTGGCTAGGGAGGACATCGAGACAGGCTTTTTTCAGTGAGGTGGTTGAATGAAAGTTAGCTCTAATTGACAACAAACATCATTTTAAGACATTTTTAAAAGTAAGTTAGTTTAATTCTAGTTCAATGCAGTGATGTTTGAATAAATTTCAATCCTGTTTATTCCAAATTAAATGAAAAAATCAAAATAAATACAATATAATCTAAGTCAGATTTGTTCTATGATTTATAAGATGTCAAATTGTTGAGCTAACTCCTGGTGTGGTGGTTACTAAGCGTCATCTTCAACACATATTCTGAGCCCCGACAATTCAAACTAAATCTTTGTCCAAAACTTTTGCATTAACTGCTGGAGTTACCCAAGTTTGTCTTGTGAAAGACTGGAGAGCAGTAAGAATCTCAGATTTATTGGGATTTAAATAACCAGCTTTATCATACAGTGATAAATAGATTAGTTTGGATGACAATACAATGTTTCTCGAWATCACAAAGTCTGTTGTGATACGATATCGATTCAATTCAATTTACAAGTCTGCGATKGATATGATGAGATATCATATGAATGTGTTGAGGATATGAAATCGATCCACAGGGTGTATGACAACGGCAAGGATCGATGTTTTCATTTTGTCTTGATGTAACTGAATTGTTAATCATTTAATTGATATATCGATGCAGATCGATGTATCGTTACACCCCTAATAGATAGATAGATAGATAAGACAGATAGACAGATAGATAGATAGATAGATAGATAGATAGATAGATAGATTTTCTGTCCCAAAGTAAAACTGAAATTTGTCTTCAACAAAAACCCAAATAAAATAACAATAAAAAATACAGCCGAAAAAAAATCCACAATATTTTCAAAAAGCTCCTAAAAACTTTCTTCCCTAAAAGTTTGTCACTGTGGCAACCTTAACAACGGAGAAACGTGATGCTGCTGCTCATCAACAGCTGCTGTACTCTACACTGTGGGCTGTGAACACTTTAACAGCCACACTTTCCAAAGTACACAAACCACACAAATCTGGACCCGTTCAAACAAATCTAACAGTAGATGAAGAGTCAATTAATCTTGTTGGTGATTTCAGGATCAGCTGGTAAATTGTACCATCAGTATTTAATGGAAACATAATGGGACACAGTAACCTCACTCCCATCATTTCCTTCAACCTCTAGCTGGACCTCTGTCATCCTTTGAACTCCAGAAGTAGTAATTAGTATAATTTGTGTAAGCCAAACATGAGGTAACAAAGAAGAGCACAACTAATATTGATTTTGTGTCTGAATGGTCTGAAACATCTCAGTGAAGGTGCCAAAGGTTCATCCTCCCCTGCTTTCATTAGGAAATGGGAAACAGTGAGCTCCTGATACTAAGTGCTTGTGGCTGCCAACATGTTTTTCCTATTGGTGATTATTGGTGTATTGTAGCCGTCTAATCATTTCCTGCCYCTGCCAGCCCTTTCAAAGGGAGCTTACTCATTCGTCCTCTCTCCTTCGCTCCTGCTTCAAATCCTTCTTTCCTTCCTTTATGAAGGATCAAGAAACTATAAATAGCTTTGGAGCCAAAGGATTTAAACAAATAGTTTGGCCATTTTGAAATAATGTTCTGTCAAAGTTATCAACAGCGAGTACTTTATCAGCCATGACATTAGTCTTAAAACACAAAGGATGAAGAAAAAGGTAAAAGTTTTCCATCAGGGGTCAGGCTGACAGTGATTGGGAAAGGTACAATTAAAAAAAAACAGGACTCCAGCTGGATGAATTTCAACCCTTACTTTTGCACAAGCCTCGTTTTGTTGGATTTAAAATCGTGTACATACTGTACAGGTCAGCAGGGGCTACAGCCTGTTCTACCTAATTGAGACTTCAAAAGCAGCTGTCTGGARGTTGGCAACGTAGTCGCCAGCCTCTTGCAGCGCAGGCGTCTGCYTGACTGAAACGTGGGCGTGTGATCGGCTCTGAGCGCCAGAGCCYAGGCAGGTAGGCGACGACAAGCTGATGTGGGAATAAATCAACTGGACTAATGGGAAAAACAGCAGAGTACAGTAGCATTTGTAGAAGCAGTTGAAATTTTTTTTTTTTTTTTTTTTGCTTTATTTGTATCAGCGTAGTGTTCCTTGGTACATAGTGAAAATACTAGCTTATTGGTATTCTCAC